AATTGACATTCCTCAAAAGTTTGGTCCTCAAAATAGTTTGTTCTAAAAATAGGTTACTTTTATATAAGACCATATAAATAACTCGGAGAAACCATTCTACCATCTTCGCAAGCTTTTTATTCACATCAGTTTCCAGTGTTTCTTAAGAGTCCTATCTATCACATCTCACAGTATCAGGCAGATTATCAGTCCCTAATGTCTGTCTTGATCATTTTCAGTTTACTGTACATTTAAAATAAACATTGAAGTTAGAAGAAGAGAACAGAACAGAGCAGAACAGAACAGACAAAAGAAAGACACATCCATAATATTAGCCATTTATGCCGTGCTTTGCAATATATCAGTGAGCCATTTCAATATTTATGAGGTGATGATAAGCATCAGTGTGTTTAAAACATACAATTATTAGACCATTATGGAAGATGAAGATACAAGTAAGTAAGAAAATGATCTTTCAGGCCACATCACATTAATTTTCCATGGCAGCCTTTTCATGAAAAATGAATTCTATAATTAATAATTCCATACATTTCCTGACAGCAATCCATCATATGTCAAATGAAGAATACACACATGACATACTGGGCATTAGTCCAGGTTTTTATTTTACCAAGATAACAATGCTTTCAGCAGTGACCTTCATATTTTGGCTATAAACATGCCAACGGATCATCACATGGTTACTGGCATGTGGCAAGCAGAAATATGCTATGGCATTTTACCTTACAAAGCCTATGCATAAGCTTTTCTTTTGTGGTGAAAATATGCCTACTCGTGTTTCTTGTAAAAACACACCTTTGTCTGGTATCACAAATCTAGGACGTCAGTGGTGAGATGCATTGCTTAATATTGTCTGAGATCATCAGATGACATTGTCTAACGATGGTCTTTTTTGTGGATAGAAAAATTCTGCAGCCCAATTCAAGCATAAATACAGAGATAATGTCTTTCACGGAAATGCTTTTCAAATGCATCTGCCATTAATCCAGCTCTAATGGACAAGTGTATTCAAAGAATTCTTGTTTATCAGTCTGTAGGCATGACCAGGAACTGAGTGGGACAACAGCCAAGCCAATCTGAAGTTATGGAGCTTGTAGATTGTAAATAACACGGAAACATCGGCGATCTGTCAGTCGGTAGTGATTTGATTTGTTAAGTGTCATCAGTGTCAAACTGGAAACTGCATTGCGAAGCTGATGACAGATGCAGGGTACTACATTTTCATAACTGTAGCACACAGTGCCCCTCAAACAATGTCCTGCAAGCATCATCGTATAGTCACATCATAATCATTTTTTAAATTATTTCTAATTTGCTTAATATCTAATATTCTTATTTTCCAGCAAAATTTTCCTCTTGCCTGCCCTGCAATGCTGGAAATCTGGGGGAAAAGCATGTAGTTCATAAGTGTTTTCCTTTTCATAGTCTTCTGTCTTTTGGGGTTTAAAGCACAAAGGTATAATTGAGCTATACTTGGTTAGGCTAGTTGTACTATTTATATAGTAAAGGGAAAAGGAAATGCATTTTTTAAAATAAAGATTATGTTTAAGATTGAGGAAGTTTCTAACATTGTGTGGTCCTTCCCTTTTCAGCATCAAGAAATTTGGGTTGGCACAGATTCCATTACAGCTCACACCCTGCAGTGATAGGAGGCAATGATTCGCCCAGTGCATCCTGAACGACTATATAATCGGATGTTAATACCAGAATATGAAACAGAGTACTACTGCTGTTTAGGTACTGAGACAGAAACTGTACACTTGAAAAAAGTAAATACTTTATTTTTGTTTCTTTCTATTTCATTATTCTAGCATTTTACTTGTTTTCACCAGGTCTTAATTACTCTGAATTGTTTTTAATCTCAGGTTATAGCAACACTGTAACTGAAATCTCATAGACATTATTAGAATTTGGCAGCAATAATATTTTCAGCAGGATGGGAAAACAAGCCCGAACCACAACCATTGTAAAAGACAAACCCACTGTGCAGACTAAGGTTAGTAACCCATCTTATATTTTGCTAGACATCTATTGTGTCCTTCAGTTTGATTAACAGATTAATTTTTTAACTCTAGCTGAAAGTGGAAAGGTCAGTCGATCGGCCAGTTCGATGTCCATTTGCTGTTCATTTGCGAAACTACACGGATGGCTCGACCCACCAAGATACGCTGCATCACAGAGCAGTTAAGGTATTTTTAAATTGTAATCAAAATAACTGCATGTTTATAACAGTTTTGAACTGAAGAGAACAATGTTCTTTAGCTTAACACAATAAAGTAAGATGTTACAATATCAACTAAAAATTTAAATGTGACCCTGGACCACAAAACCCAGCCTTAAGTCGCTTGGGTATATTTTTAGCAATAGCCAAAAAAAACATTGTTATTCATTATTAAATCTCAATTTCCAAAAATTGACCCTTATGGCTGGATTGGTGGTCCAGGGTCACAAATGTGAATGCGGTATTACTGATTTCGCAAAACGTACAAGAAAAATTACTTTAAATACATATTAATTTGTTCCCCTCCAGAATATGGCCTGCAATTCCAAAACTTGCGAAGGCTCCATCATGAATCCCAAAACTCTGATACATGGTCCTTCCAAAATGACACCTTCCTCAGATGACATCCTCACCCAGGCATTGGATTTTATTGATCAGTACTACAAATCATTCAAAATGTAAGAGCAATGTAATCTGTACAAAAATAAAGATAAGCTTATTTTAATGTCATTACAATGAAACCATGGCAAGTATTCCAATGAATGATATTGTAGGTCAGACTTCAAATTTAATTTTATACAGTATGTAACAGGGGGACCCTCTCACCATCCAGTATGACTGAAAATATTTAACCACTCTTGACAAGCTTATGTCATCACGCATGCGTATTAAGATATGATTGTGTGGGTGGAGAGGTGGAGTTCCTATCAACTGCCTTTCATTTTTATTATGAGAGCGTTTTCTTATGGTTTCAGGAACCCGTCAAAGTATAATAAAATATTCACTCTTTATTAACGAAAACAGAAACGATTATATTTCGTTCGTCTTTTAAAACAGGGGTGGAAATGTGACAGTTGGTTTACTTTACAAGGTGAATAACCAATTCTTACCATTTGCGCAGCCCGAATCAAACGGAGCACCAGGCAAGGATTGACAGGGTCACACTGGAGATCACCCTGACTGGCTCCTACACACTTACTACAGATGAGCTCGCTTTTGGGGCCAAACATGCTTGGAGAAACGCGCCGAGGTGCATTGGCAGGATCCAGTGGGCCAATTTACAGGTTTGATAGCCTATTTTTCGCACATATTATGGCTAGCACTTATAGGCTATATCAATGGTAGGCTAAGTAAGTTATACTAAGTAAGTATCTTCTACAGCTTTTCGATGCGCGTCAGTGCAAGACCGCCAAGGACATGTTTAATGCCTTGTGTACTCATCTTAATTATGCCACCAATGGAGGAAACTTGAGGTAAGTTGAATTTATTTATTGCTATAGTCATCATCAATTCTGTAACTAGTACATGTCAATAAGCGGAAAAAGTCTTGATACAACAGCAAATTCCGTGACGCCGTTTTGAAAAAGAAACGGAAAAGACCATTGTAATTTTAAAAGTTAAAGACATTTTTTTTTCTTTGCACCTCTTAATAACTCTGGCATTAGAAACGGAATTGTATACTTGATATTATTATTGTTGTTGTTTATTATTATTATTATTATTATTGGGTTTACATGGTATGGCGGCTTTGCTGTTGTAAACACTACTGTTGCTGTTGTACAAAAAAATACATATTTCTGTCATATTTAAAATAGAATTCTATTCTAATCCTGTTTTGAATGTATTCATTTCTTGAATTAGCCTATATGATAGGAAAACAGGATTGATAGGCTACGTATAATTCGGAGGAAGATAAAATCAGTATTACCAGAGTTGTGATAATTAGCCTATTTTTAAGGTAGGCTACTCTACGTGTTTTTAAATACATAGCCTACTGCAATAATATTTCAAAGCTTTTCATAGGGCTATAACATAAAAATACCCTTCGACGCCAGTTAAAATTTTCTCAAAATTGATCAAATAGCAAGAACGAAGGTAAATAGGCTATTTAATTTTAATGAAATGTAAATTCGTCCCCTGCACTTTATTCGTGCAGGTGTGTTCACGTAGAGGTTTTCACGGGTAATAACAAATCAGTCGGGATCACGGCCATTTGAACACTTTATTTGTGATAAACCCCCCTAAAATGTCGATCATGTAAAAGAACAGACCCATAAGAATGAATTCATAATCATAAAATAATATATCACCTTGCAGAGAGAGTGGAAAAGAACGCGTTAAACTGGCAGTTTAGCGGCTGGCTAGAATAAAGCACTCACCAGTCAGGATCACGGTTAAGAGCCGATCCTCCCTAAGCGCAAAATACGCAAGCTGCGTAGGGCCCCCGAAACACCAGGGGGCCCCCTTGCTCTCAAAGACGATTTAATTTTAGTTTCGTTTTTGAATTTGGCCAGCGGTTATGAAAACATGAATGATCATTTCTTTTAATGCGGTGCGCTGTCGCCCTTTCTACGTAAAAATCAGTCAAATCATGTACCGTATTGGCCCGAATATAAGACGACCCCCCTTTTTCCAGATGTACCTTTTGGAAAAAGGCTTTTTAAAAACCAAATCTTGTTTTTTCTCAGTAAAACACATTTTGTCTTCAATTATTTTCATATTGCATATTTTTCCTATTTAAATTTTTGTTTTGAAAGTATGGTAAAAACTGGTAAAATGTAACAACAATCACATTTAAAAATATATACACTTTTTGATATACCATAAAAAAACAAAAAAACAAGTAGCCCATCTGAATTAGGACATTTAGGCTATCCATCTAATAGTAGCCTACCAAAATCTTATTAACAGTAGAAGTTAAATCTTACTGTAGTCTTCAAATCTGGGTACTGTCTTACGTTTTAAAATCACAAAGGGAGTCAATACGGTAATGTGAATGTTGTACAGTCTTGCTCGAGACTAAAAAAACGAGTTGAAAGCGTACCGAGCCACGGAAGAGACACTGTTTCTCAAGCGCTTTCCGCGAGCGCGATTCGAGACAAATGCGTTTCATTTATTCGTTCATAACCACTCATACCCCACTTCACAGTCGGGATCACGGTCATTTGACCACTTTATGATTGAGATCATGACAAATCACAGTTTGGCAGTTGTACTTTTTATGTGTGCTGAAAAAAAAGAGCTAGCTGCAAAAGAGGAAGGTAAAAGAGTTTGAGGTAAGCAGTTTTAAGTTTTGGCGTCATGTCGTGTTGATCAACATGCCATTTCATGCTGCATTTTTATTGGCTGGTCAGTAGACATAAGTCGTAGCAGCAAACACTGTGCGATGATCATGCTGAATTTCTGACACTGTCAGAAAATGATCGTAGGCTATCTTTGGTCGCAAGACTGTGACAACAGCTGTCTTTGAACCTCTCTCGCTGTATTATATAAGACCACCAATTAGGAGCCACAATCATAGAAATCACCACGATGACAGTCTTTTAGACAGCCGAAAATCATACAGTGTGTCCCAGGCTTGATAGTGGGAACAAGACATTGCAAGAATCGCTGTAGGAACTCCTCCCCTTCCCCAATTTCCTGAAAGCTTATAGGATGGCCAATTGTCGCTACATATGCAAATCACATGCAAGTATTGACAAGCTTGCGGGCAGTATAAATGCGGCGAGAGTGACAATTGCGTCAGAATCTGAGACTGAATGCTGCATTCCTGATCGAGCAGCGAGCAAGGAGATCTTCGCAATGTCTCGTTCCCGCTCTCAGGGAACCAAGGTTACAACAGTAACCGGAGCCCTTCCCTATCGAGCGTTCACTCTACATTGCGAGAATCTGTGGCTGTGTATGACCTTGATGTGCATACATCCCGCAGTCCATGCTCTCCACACCACAACTGTAGCGGCCGCAGAAGATCCAGGTGGCAAACTGATGATGCCGATGCCGTAAGTCCTAGGAGCCTCTGGAATTCCCTCAAGGGAACAGACTGACCTGGTCTGAAGTGGTGTAGAGCTGAAGAGAAGGTCTCTACGTGCTCTCGAGAGAGGTGAGCTCGCATCTCCACCGAGTTGAAACACACGCCCAGATATGTTATAGTCTGACTCCACATGACACATCTCTTGAATGGGCTAAATTCAGCCAGTTGTCCAGATAATTTAGAATGCGCATACCGCTCGCTCTGAGAGGGGAAAGCGCTGTATCCATGCACTTCGAGAACATGCATGTGTGAGAACTGAATACTGGTACGATGTGCCCTCGAACGCGAAACTCAGGAAGCGCATGTGGAGCGATGGCAGTGGCTCGCTGGCGGCAGTGGGCCCCGTTCTCATGAGGCCACAAGCAGTGCTCCTCCGAGTCCTCAAACACTTGCAGGCAAGTCAATGCAGAGCACACAGTTGACTCAGAGAACGTAGCCTCAGCGTGGGCCAGGCCCAGGGAGGCGATGCAGTGCTTGTGTGTGTCCAGCAGGTCGATGGGGCTGGCGCAAATACGACAGACGGTGCCATCGGATGCGGTGATGAAGTTGTAGTATCTTCTGGTGCTTTTTCTACGATTTATACTTTTTTTTATACTGCCCGTGAGCTTGTCAGTATTTGCATGCAATTTGCATAAGTAGCATCAGTTCGCCAGTTTATTGAACTGGTGTTATCCTATAAGGTTTCAGGAAATTGGAGAAGGGGAGAATTTCCCACAGCAATTCTCGCAATGTAGAGTGAATGCTCGATAGGGAACCCTAATATAAAGGAAAAAAGCATCCAGCTATCGATGTAGGCAAACCAATATCTGCTGTAGCTGAGCTGAATAAAAAGCAGAAACATTTGACTGATGAAACTTAAAGACAATAAACACACGGTTGTGAAAATATGGTTTATGTGTGTTTTTTCAAGTCATCTCCACGAAATAAATAAATAAAGTATATGAATAATTCAGTGCTAATTGACATATTTAATATAGAAACTATAAAATATTTTTTTAAATATTAAAGATAAAATCTGCCTTATTCAGTGATAAAAATGGGAAAAAGTGTTCGTAGTAGCCTATATAAGCCAATCATAAAATTGTCATTAGGAAAATATAGGATAAAAATATTATAGAATACAAATTATTGGTTATTGTCCAGCAGTGCATTTGATTTCTTATCCAATTAAAAATAAGAGATAAAAAAAAAAAACCTTTCAATTAGACACAATATCAATCAATTAAATAAATAAATACATAAATCTGAAATGATGGCTACACTCCTTGCTGCAGCTAACTTCACTTCCACAGGCTACACACAGCAATATAAACAACAGCCGTGCATGCTCTCTTCACGTCATTCTTGTAAAATGATAATAATTAAATAATAAAAGTATACAAGCACACCACACCGCTGAGAACTTCACTTACTGGCATCCGCGGACATTATTGAAGGTTTCCTGGTAGTGCGCTAAATTACTAAAGGTGTCTGAACATGAGGGATCAAATGAATCACAGTATAGGACAGGACCCTATGCACTTATTATACATTTTTTTAAAACAATTTTGTCAAGATAAATATATACTTTATGTGGTAGCATCTATATTAACTTTTTTCTCCAAGTCAAATGTACCATTAAATATGACAATGACTTTGATTTTGATTAATTGAGGAATGCTCATTTTTGGTTTTGGTAGATCTGCCATCACTGTGTTCCCTAAAAGAACAGACGGAGAGCATGATTTCCGTGTGTGGAACAGTCAGCTTATAAAGTATGCAGGCTATCAGATGGAAGATGGTAGTGTGATTGGAGACCCAGCAGGTGTGGAGTTTACACAGGTAACCAAAATAGAAGTATTGAGGAGGGAAAATATTTTACATTTTAAATGGCATCTGCCAACCGAATCTTTGCCTCTATTAAGAAATATTCACATATGATAACTGCTGGAAATGTTCACTATTTCTATAGGTGTGCATTCACCTGGGATGGAAACCAAAGTATGGTCGATTTGATGTGCTTCCACTGGTCCTGCAGGCGAATGGAGAGGACCCTGAAGTTTTTGATATTCCTCCAGAACTGATCCTGGAGGTCCCAATAGAGCACCCAGAGTAAGTGATTTGGGTCAGTCCAGGGAAAGGGGGATATATTTGATTTCTAAATTTTTTGAGGTAACAAGTTTTGTATAGTTATATCCCAGAGGTTTCAGAAAAAATATACATTTACGGGTCATTATGTGATCAGACAGTGTTATGTTCTGCTTTTGTTCAGGTATGAATGGTTCAAAGATCTAAACCTCAAGTGGTATGCAATTCCTGCAGTGGCCAGCATGCTCATGGAAATTGGTGGTCTGGAATTCACAGCATGTCCTTTCAATGGCTGGTACATGGGCACAGAGATCGGAGTCAGGGACTTCTGTGACAGCCAGCGCTACAACGTTTTGGAGGTAGTTCGGCCTTACTGTCTCATGATGATAGCATAACACATCCCGCAACTTTTGATACTGATGTTTTGCTTTTACTGCTTTATGTCCTGTAGCGGGTCGGCCAGCTAATGGGCTTAGAGACACGCAAGCTGTCTTCATTGTGGAAAGACCAAGCACTTGTGGCTATCAATGTTGCAGTGATACATAGCTACCAGGTGAAGATGGAATATATGGTAGAAATATTGATATGCATATTGATTCAAGATCCTGCAGTCTTACTGTTATAGTTTCTGAAATAATATTCATGAAAATAGATTTAGGAAAGATGATAAAGCCATTTATATATCTATTGGTCTACATTGGTGTGCAGAAAAATAAGGTCACCATCACAGACCACCATTCAGCAAGCGAGTCTTTCATGCAGCATTTGGAGACAGAAGTTCGTCAGCGTGGAGGCTGTCCAGCTGATTGGGTGTGGTTGGTCCCGCCCATGTCTGGCTCCCTCACCCCCGTGTACCATCAGGAGATGCTCAACTACATCCTTTCCCCCTTCTTCTATTACCAGGTATCAAACTTTCTGATTAATTATCATCAGACATAACTTAGATACAGATAACAGATACACTACTGTTCAAAAGTTTGAAGATTTGTTTTAATTTGAAAGAAATTAATACTTTTATCTAGAAAGGATGCATTCAATTGATCAAGAGAGAGTAAATACATTTATAATGTTACAAAAGATTTCTATTGGAAATAAACACTGTTCTTTTGAACTTTCTATTCATCAAAGAGTCATGAAAAAGATGAATCACGGTATCCACAAAAGTTTTAAGCAGCACAACTGTTGCATAATAATAAGAAATGTTTCTTGAGCAGCAAATCAGCATATTAGAATGAAAATCGCCTTTAAAGTTGCCCAAATGAAGTTCTTAGCAGTGCATATTACTAATCAAAAATTAAGTTTTAATATATTTACAGTAGGAAATGTACAAAATATCTTCATGGAACATGATCTTTACTTAATATACGAATGATTTTTGGCATAAAAGAAAAATCAATAAGTTTGACCCATACAATGTATTTTATTGTATGATTATATATTAATATATAAATATATTAAAATCAATACACTTGGTTCATTGCAAATTCTACACATTTTATTATAATTTTCTTTCCCTTAGAGCTTCAAGAAGCAGCTATTCAACTTGCAACACCTGAAAAACACTGTCAGGTTTGTAGCCTAGCACTGCAAAGATTTTCACTATCATCACCTGTAAATATTCTGTTGTAGAGCAGAAGCCCTGACATGCTCTTCTCACTACAGGTACAGTGTGTTTGGCCTTGGCTCACGTGTGTACCCACAATTCTGTGCCTTTGCCCATGCTGTGGATGACAAGCTTGCTGAGTTGGGGGCCAAGCGTCTGACTGCCACAGGGGAGGGAGATGAACTTAATGGGCAGGACGAGGCTTTCTCTGCCTGGGCTTGCACTGCTTTTAAGGTTGGCGAGGTTTCCCTCTGTGCTTGGAAATTATGATTCAGTGAATCAACTAATTAATCTGCTACTACTATAGCAAACAAATGACACATATGTGTTTTTAATATAAGGATGCATGTGAGGAGTTTAACATTAAAAAACAGCTGAAAGCTGTTGAGGAACAGTCGGACGACTGGGACCCACTGAGATACAGAGTACAGCATGACAGTTGCACTCTGGACCGAGTTACAGGTACACCTCTACCTCTACTTATCAAAACCCTAATAATTTAGTCAATAAAGTTTTATCAAACCTCAATAAACATGATTTTACGGTATTTATATGAATGTATCTTCTGTTTTTACAGCACTGTCTGCTCTTCACTCTAAAACTGTGTTTCCTATGACGCTGAAAAGAAGGCAGAAACTGCAGTGCGCTCAGTCAAGGTTTGATTCTACAACTTCACTAAAACTTGTAAACATTTTTGACAGCACTGTTTATTTAAACTTATTTATTCCCTTTTCAGTCGTTCTACTATCCTGGTTGAGCTGAAGACAGATGGAAACACAGAGGCCTTGAACTTTGCCCCTGGAGATCATGTGGGGATTTTTCCAGAGAATTCTCCAGAGCTGGTGGATAGTATTTTGAAGCATCTCCCAGATGCCCCTCCAGTTAACCAGAGTTTTCACCTGGAGTCCCTTTCAGACTCTAGCCATGGTAACTATCACTTATAGTTATAATAAACTATATACAAGTATAGTTGGGAAGTGTTTCTGTTGAGCCCCAAAATTCAAGCTTATTTTTTATGGATCTTTCCTGTGGTGTCTTTCAGAGGAAAAGAGATGGCTGACAGATGAACGTATCCCTGCTTGCACGCTGGCGCATGCTCTTACATACTTCATTGATGTCACAACTCCACCTTCGCAAAGCCTGCTGCGCAAACTCTCTACAGTGGCGGGTCAAGAAGAGGATCGCAAACGACTTGAAGCACTTGCATCTGTAATTGCGTTACATTCGTCCTTTTTAAGAATTGAAATGGGGCACTTGTTCATGATTTTGTACGAAATGACACATATTTCCAGTGGATGCATTTACAGGATTCCTCCATTTCTCCATAGGATTTCCAGGAATACTCTACATGGAAAGATTTCTACAGGCCCAACTTCTTGGAGGTGCTCGAAGAATTTCCCTCTCTGAAGGTCCCTGCCACCTTCCTTCTCAGCCAGCTTCCTCTGCTGAAGCCTCGTCTGTACTCGGTCAGCTCCTCATTGGACCGTCATCCGAACGAACTACACCTCACTGTATCTGTGGTGGAGTACCACACCCAGGGTATGATACTACACCTATAACAAACATACAAAACAAAGACATTAGACAATTCTTCTATAATTAAAGCCATGTTTCAGCATAAATGAGGATAATGTTCTGTTCTACTGTAGGTGGAAAGGGCCCACTACATTTTGGCACCTGCAGCACATGGCTTAACACCATCAAAAGAGGACACACAGTTCCCTGCTTTGTTCACCGGTACTGATAGTTAAAAGCTGAATATAAATATCTAATTTAAATAAAATGGCATTTTGGCTTTCTGTATTCCATATCTTAATAAAATAGAAAACTTGACTTGCTCATGATTTCAGCTCAGGTGGATTCCATCTCCCAGAAGACCCCAGCACTCCAGTTATTCTGATAGGAGCTGGTAGTGGTATTGCTCCTTTCCGCAGCTTCTGGCAACAGCGCATCCATGACATGAAAAAGACAGGTAATCTATGCGAAATTTTCATGAAGTTCAGACAAAAAAGCTTATAATGTCTTAAGATTCAATGAGGTTCTACCCAAAACAGTTATCACAGTATCCTGCATTTTATTTGAGCTGTCTTTAATTCTTGTTTCTCTGTTAAATCTTTCAAGTTTTTGTCCTAAATAGTTTGTCTTATTTAACCGACTCATTTTTAGGTCTGCAAGTTAGTCCTATGACACTGCTATTTGGGTGTCGTGATTCAGAAACAGACCATCTGTATAAAGTAGAAACACTGAAGTTGAGACTTGATGGCATTCTGGGCAATGTCAACACAGCTTACTCTCGGCAACCTGGTAAACCAAAGGTACGTCTCTGAAGTTCCGTTCATGCTGTATTATACTAGAAATAATGTTTATTTAGGTTTGTGTGTCAAAATCCAGTTCCATCCAGTCAAGTCTATTCTATTCATCAAACACATTTACAGTGGGATCAGTTGGTGCCTTCAGTCTGTAACTGTAAGCTTGTGTTGTTTGGAGCAGATGTATGTGCAGGATGTCTTGAGGGAGCAGCTCTCTGAAAAAGCCGTGGAGGTTCTACACAAAAACGCAGGTCATCTGTATGTCTGCGGTGGCATGAACATGGCCCGTGATGTTGCTGGCACTTTGCAGGATATCCTGGCAAGTAAAACAGGCATGGCCATTGCAGAAGCTGGAGAATATCTGGAGAGGATGAAGGTGAGCTCTCAAAATGCATTTAGATTCACTGTTTCGATCTTCATGTCCTTATATGAACTGCCTTGTGGCCAGTGAACTCATGCCATCATCTTTTTTTTTTTTGGCAGGTTGAGAAGAGATACCATGAAGACATTTTTGGAGCTTAATGGCAGAGATCTGCTGCATCATGTAAAGAAAAATCAGTTTCACCACATGCACGTTTAACTATTGTGATTCAAATGTGCTTTCACTGTGTATATTCTTGAACAGTTTTAAACTGATGTAAATATAGCTTCTCTGTATCAGTATGGACAAACAGGATGATTACATATGTACCCTTATCGTATGATGGGCAAGACTCTGCGATTTAAAATGCTCTATTTTAAGGGGAAAATATATGGCTTTAGTTTATTGAGCTCATTTCTTTTTTTATTTAATTTCTCAAAGATATTTCTGACATTTTCTAATGTCTTCTATGTACTGTATGACTTTTGAGACATGCCAATTTCATTGTTCTATAAGCAATAAGCAGCCAGCATTTGATAATTGTATTTTATTTTATTAATGATCTTTCTTAGATAATTTATAGTGAAATGGATTTGATTTAGGTCAAGAATTAAATGTATGTGTATGTCTAATTGTATAAATAAAAAAAATAAATAGTCAGATTTGGATAAAGTGTGTATGCGTGTTGGTGGGGGGTGCAATGAAATCTAATCACAGTGCAAAATAACATTTAGTGCGATTAAAGACAATGAAACAAATGAATTAAACAGATATACTGTTTTAACACAATAACATCTAAATAAGTAATCAAACAGTAGAAGGTAAATCTCTTATTTCTTCATATTCTTTCAAGACACCATGTTGTGTTCCAAAGGCAGGGCACACAGCCATAGTAACCAAAACTAACCAAACAAAATGAAACAAATTGTTATGAACATTTTATATCATGACATGTGACATGATGAGTGGAATTAGCAAGATTGAACTAAAGTGAAAGTGGAAGATGCTGAACTTCAAAACACAGCCAATCAGAGACATTCTAGAGAAGAATGATAGTGAAAGAGAATGAGAAGGAAACATCCAGAAAACCAGTTACTCTGAAAAATCTCATCTGGTAAACATTGCAAGAGAAACTTATCAAATGAAAAACAAACAAACAGAGAACAAAAGAGACTAATACCATGGCAAGAATAGGAAGAAGAAAAAAAGTTCAGTAGAGTTAAGTGTTTAGGCACCACGCAATTTAATGCAAGTTCTACTGAGGTGTCACATGACAGTATTGCCATGTGTTAACCCACAGGTCAGTTCAGTGAGAAGCTTCACCCAACACTCTGACCTCTTGAGAGACAGAAATGGCCACAGGTAAGCAAAATAAATGTTTGTTCAATATTTAAGAACAAAATGACTGCATGTTTGAGACACAAACTGAAAACTTTTTAGACAAGCATTCACTCATTTAGCTCATTTCACAAACTAAACTAGTCTACGTTGGCCTGCCGGAATTGCCAAAAATGCCCAAGAAAATATTGAAAAGCTTTAAAATAATATGAATAGCTTTAAAATAATATGAATAGCAGCTACGCTAATCCTTCTGAATTTGCTTCCCTCTTTGTGTCTCAGGATGCTCATGCCGAGGTTACCAGAGAGTACACCAGATCCAGCAACCTGACACCAATACCAGTCAGATGATGAGGAGCAGTATCAGTCTCCTCGGATGGATTTCACATGAAGTAAACCATTAAAAACTAAAGCCCATACCAGATATGGCAAGGAGGAAGAGCTTGTTAAACAAGAGAGATGCTAACTTACATGAGACCAGTGGTTTTCAACCCCAAGGTCCCCCACTTTTGTACATTCATTATAAAAATGCCCATGGAGCTTTAAGCTTACATTCATTTCCATGACTTTTCCATGTCTAGAAATCACATTTTTAAATTAGGGTACCTCATATATAAAGGTTTTTCCAAGTCTGTGTGAAACCTGGTTCTTAAAAGAAAAAAAAATGAATTAAAATAAGAATAAGCTTGATTTATATTTGCTTTACCTTAATTTATTGCTTTTTAAAAAAAATAATTTTAAGTCATCTAAAGCACCAGCCACTTGGTTGAAGACCAGTGCATTAGACCGTACAAGTTATCACATCTACAATTTCATCAAATTACAATTTATATGGGCTTGTTGAAATAAAGACAAATGCCTGATACTATGACCTTGAATTTTTGAAGATTTTTGACTTCAGCCACATCAGTGACATGCAGCAAATTAATGCTAATGAAATCTGAACGAAATGTAAATTTGTAATGCTTGATCAAGCTACCAAAATGATTTGTAGGTAGTCTCTATTAAAGTGATCTCTTAATAAAAACACACTTTGGAAAAGAGCACAATTACTTTTAATTCATTTATTTACAAACAATACAAAATAGAATACTGAATCAAGTCTGTTGCAGCATCACGTTCATATTCCGCTCTATAATGGAAAAAAGGTAATTCAGTAAACCTAAACTAGAAATTTGGATACTCAAAGCAATATGTAAAAGGTAAAAATTGACCAACACAATGTAAAAAATAAATCTAAAACAAAAACCAACCGCTGGATCTTTATTTCCGATGTGACTTCTTAGATGCTGCAGCCTCTCTACGACCTTGTTTTAAACCCTGTGAACGAGACAAGAGTTTGAGCTTTGATTGAAAAACAACCAGGTGCATGAAAAGACGCTTGTGAATGGCAAGAAGTTCCAAATAGTAAACTGTACCAAATAGTATCCCGTGTGATAGCCACTCATGTACCAGGAAATAAGCATACTGCCCAAAGCTTCATCATCCTCTAGAGAGTCTGGACTCATTGGTGGAGGTGGTGGGATCATCTGGACCAACAATAATTTCACATTTTAGTTGATTTGCTCCCATAAAAAGCTGTATGTGCTTCTTAAAATGCCATTACTAGATCACTTTTCCTGTAAGAATATGTTTATTTCCAGCTGGTTCTTACTGGGGGACCGGGTGGAATCATGGGAGGCCATCCAGGGAAGAAAGGTCCAGGACCTTCTGATCGTCTACCATCCATCTGGAGAAAACATAGTATTTTGTGTGATGCAATATAAAAACCACTTAACTGACAAGCTAATGAATCACTTTGCAATGTTGAATACTGCCTTTTATAACAAGAAAAGAGAGCGTCACAGCGTTCAATATTCACCTTTTGGAAATGAGGTCCTGGTGTGGGTCCAGGTGGGAAACCAGGAACCCATGATGGAGGCCCCATGGGAGATCTGCCTTTAGATTTGTGCTTCTGATGACCGGACTGCCGTGGAGTAAAAGATCGATCACTCTCCTCTGTCGAAGACTCAGCCTCTTTGACCTGCAATTAGACAAATGAAAAGCAATATTATACAACCGCATTATTAAAGGAATAGTTCACCCAAAAATGAAAACCTGATAAAAATGTACTCCGTTAGACCATTCAAGATGTAGAGGAGTTTGTTTCTTCATCAGAACAGATTTGGAGAAATTTAGCAGTACATCATTTGCTCATCAATAGATCCTCTGCAGTGAATGAGCGTTCAATCAGCTGATAAAACAACATCACAATAATCCACAACACGGCTCCAGTCACTTATCATTACTTGTGAAGTGGAAAGCTACATGTTTGTAGTAAATCCATCATTAAGACATTTTTAACTTCAAATCACTGCTTCTGGGTAAAATACAAGTCCTCTATCCATAATATTGCTTTCTCCAGTGAAACAGTTGCATCACCTGAATCAGGAGAGAAATATAGACAGAACAAGCACCGCTTACAAGCAAAAACAGTTCCAAACAAATATGCCGGTAGATTTTGTTGTGAGAGGAGAACAGGAGATTTCTGTTTTCTCTTCTCAGAGATTTTTCCTCTTCTTCACTGGAAGAAGCGGTACTATGGATTTGGCCAGAAGCTATGGTTTAAAGTTAAAAACACCTTAATTTGTTCTTACAAACATGCAGCTTTTCGCTTCACAAGATGTTAATTGATGGACTGGAGTCGTGCCCATTATTGTGATGTTTTTATCAGCTGTTTGGTTTCTCATTCTGACGGCACCCATTCACTGCAGAGGATCGATTGGTGAGCAAGTGATATATTGCTAAATTTCTGTTTCGATGAAGAAAACTCATCTACAACTTGAATGGCCTGAGGGTAAATACATTTCTGCAAATTTTCATTTTTGGGTGAACTATTTCTTAAATCCCTCAAATGACTAGAGTGTCTAATTAAAAGCAGTGTCACATTCTACATACATCTGCTGTTTTTTGAGTGTCTTCATCCAAATCTGAAGCCTCTGTCAGAAGGTCACTGAGGTTCTGCTCTTCCTCATTACCATAGTCAGTATAACGGACCACACAGGTGCCCTTCTCCTGGTCGATTGAGGAAATCGTAGCAACATACAAGTTGCCATCTTCAGACCAGAATGCATAACAGTTGTCTCCAACTTGCCACTGTATAACACATTTCAGTTCATCTACATTGGCCTGTATTATTTGGATCCTTCAAATCAATAAGTACTGACACTATTCACGATTACCTCTTTATCAGGTGCTGCATTACATCTTTTTCTGCTTTTACTCTTTTTGTTGTTTTTCCGCTTCTTCCCAGGGTTATCTTTTTTGTGTGGTGTCACATTATCCTCTCCTTTTAATGCATTCTGTTGGGTAAAGGAGGAGGAGGAGGAGCAGAAGCAGAGAGAAAAACATCGGGATTACTGAAAAAGCAAAGTAAAATGCAATGGTCGCATGTCTTTTAAGCGTTATTTACCTTGAACGACACAACCGCTTTATCGTATGCTTTAATTAAAGCTGTATCATCCCAAATATCAGAATCATCACTCTGAAAAGAGGAAAGAGATCACTGGCCAATGAACTCTGCTGAATGCTTTATGCTAACATATTTCTCAGACGTTGTTATTCCAACTGACTTTAAGACCAAAACCACAAAACAAAAGCACCGCAAAATAGAAATGTCGGACTGGACTTTTAATGTGCAGCTAACAAAATGCTAACTGTTAGCTGACGAGCAAAACAATCTGCTATTTTCTCGAATCTAAAACACAAGCCAGAGTAGCTCAATCGAATCTCTTTTAAAATGGTTTAATACTCACTTGAACCGTCCCACGACAAAATATGACTTCTTCCGCACCATTCGCCATGGGAATTTATTATTTATAACAGTAAAGAAAAATTTCACAAGTGCAACGTGCGCCACTGATGTACGCCAACTGCGGATGACGCTCTAATCATGCGACACTAACGATGCCCGTTCTTTTGAGTCGAATCTTTTCAACAAACGGATCTAAAAACGCTGTGATCGATTCGTTCAGGACAACTGTACTTTCAGAAGTTCGATTACTAATGCGCTGAGCACTGTTAACAAATAAAATATACTGTAAAGTGTTTTATTACTTGATAGTAATCTATAATCACACGCATACGAAACAGTTGGTTTTCATAAACAGCATTTACAATGTGCAAAAACTTTAGTCAATGTGTAAATCAGTGCGATATTGCGTTTCTAAATTACGTAATTTATGAACTAATCACGGCTGCAATGAACTGTGATACATGAAATTACAGTATAATTAATGTAATTTGTTTTAAAGAGTTTATTAACTCTAAAACTTGTGCGTTATGCTAATTAAATTAAGAAACTTTGTTGTCAGTTGTTGCAGTTACCCCAACAAGACAATGTAAACATCTCAATTGCATTGTCTGTAAATCTGCAACAAACAAATGTACAGAGGTCCTATTTTTGATTGGTGGCCCACATAACATTTTCAACACAACCGAAGAGAACAGTTAAAAAAAGTGCTTATTCAAAAAATAGTTATTCCAAATGGTACCACAATAGGCCTATAACAGATTATCTGCAGGATTAAAAAAACAAAAACAAATGTAAGGCTTTTTAAGACATGCACAAATAAAATTAATACCATATGAGCGAGGTAGGGAAATGTCTATATGGTAACATATTAAACTGTAAAATGACTGTAAAAAGCATGATTTACAGTTCAGATAGGCCTACAGGTTTTCACAAAAACAAAAAGTTTTTTAAAATGATAAACACATTTCAGCCTTTAAACATTTTTTAAGATAAGGGATTAGTCAAAAGTATCAATTATTATATTAATTTAAACAGTTATTATCAATCAATTGCTATATTAATTAAAGAACATATAAATATATCTTAGTGTCTTAATTGTGTAGATTTTTATAATGCATGAACTTCTTGTTGATCCACCGGTTCACATTTAAAAACATGAGTTGATTTTCGCATTGTTCATAACAAAGACAGCAGAAGGGCTGATTGAAAATGCACATTCATTCTCTGCCAGCAGGAGGCGCTTTTGGAGCGGCAGAAATAAAGCGGTTTCCCTGGTAACAGCAGACGGTACACAAAGCAGCACAGCACCAGACTTTGAAACCTGCAGCGCTTATATTTATTTAATGAAATCATCGCTTTTTGAGGTTTAATCGTCACATCGCAATTCTCGTCTTTCCGTCCCCAAATTTAAGACCTCTCGAAATCATAATTAAGACTTTCTTGGTCATTTAAGAGTTTTTATGGCCTTAAATGTGATACTATTAAATTGAAGAATTTTGAAGGCCCCGCGAAAACCCTAAGAACATAATGTTGACTATGCATTTTACCTTTGAAATTTGAGGCAAGTGCAACTCTGGCGTCTTTCATACTTCTTTGTGTGAGCAGTGGTGTAAGTTAATCACGGTTTCCAAACTCCAAAAATATGGGTATCTCTTTGAACTTGGTAAAAAGGTCATACATTTAAGTTACCATCTTGACTGGAAAATACGATTTTCATTGTCAATTGTTTTAATTTATTTTTTGCTAATGAACGTTAATGAAAGTGAATGTTCAGATTAGAGTACACTTACGCTGTAATTAATACGGGAAGCGGCTGGAAACTAGCGCCCTCTCCTGGTTGGAGTTATTATATTCATAAACTGAAAAAGCAATCTTCAGTAGGCTTACATTTCAAACGTTTTCAAAACCTATCATCCGAGTCTAATATGATCCAGAGGGCCGCACTAAAAGACACTGCCGGCCGCCAGTTGCCCATCCCTGAAATAAAAATAGAAATATAATAGAAATAAAAATAGAATATCCGATTAGAACCGGTTCTTTGCAATGGACTGTTCAAATGAACTGATTCGCGAAAATGAGTCGGCTGCGACACGTCGGGTTTACCTGTTGCTTAGCAACTCAGATTGCATCCGCGTGAAAATTCCTGCCTCTGGTATATTGCTGCATGCCAATATCTAAAATTCACAATGCTGGACGCTGCTTTAAGTTCATACGGAGTGCAGGTTGTGCTAGCTACATCAAGCGATGAGAATCACCCACCGGAGAACATTATCGACGGGTCTGTAGATTGCTAAAAGCTGGAAGGAGAGCCAGCTAACTTAGCTAATGTTGTCAAAATACTAAACAAATATATTTTGCTTTAATTTATAATTAATCTATTTCTATAGAAAAACGGAGACGTTCTGGATTTCAACTGGCATGTTTCCACAAGAGTTTATTATCCGCTTCCCAGATAACATGAACATTTTCACTGTTTCCATTCAGTTACAACAGTAAGTGTATAAATACAAATATCCTTATGCAACGCGATCCGTGTCTTTACATTTATATTTCATTTCAGTTAAAAGGCTGAGAATAGAAAAGGGTACATCAGACGATGCTGATAAATTTGAAGCGGTTGCAGACACAGGTAAGTCTGAAACTACACGTGTTATTTTCCATCCACTGATCCTTTGAGTGTTATTCACGTGAATATTGTTTGTTTCAGAGTTTGAGCACACGGAGAGCAGCCTACAGGCCAGTGATGTTTCTGTGAGTTACATTTCAACGATTTGAATCTTCGGATACAGCAAGACACTCAAAACCAAGACCTTTTTTCTCCATTTTTTTTTCTTTTTTCTCTTCAGGTAAATGTATCAAATACAACACATTTGCGGTTTCTCATACTATCTGGATATGACCCTTTTGTCTCTGTACACAAAGTTAGTGTACAATCATGAGAAAATCTCCATCTGCCATGTCCTTCTGTAAACTCACACAAAGTAACCAAAGTGGATCACTGAATATTTTCCTTAACAAATAAACATTCCCCTAATTTCTATTGTTTGATATGTAAGTCTCCTCCAGTGCTCCAGTAAAACAAAATATATTAAAAGTTAAGTAAATAAAGCTGAAATAATAAATGAAAAACGAAAATTAGAAATGTTGCCATGGCAGCTAACTGAAATAAAATATGTTTAAGTACAAATTTACTAAAACAAATAAAAAAAAAAGCAAAACAGAAACATTAAAGAACAAAACAAATGACAAAAAGACATTTAAAAAATACTAAAACCTAAACTAAAATTACAAGTTTGGTAGGGTTTTATTTTATTTTTTTTATTGTAGTTATGTATTTAAAGAATAATACCTTTGACTTTGAATTATTGGCAGTGTGGATTGAATCATGGAAACAAATTGCTAGCCAGTTTGTCCCACATGATGAATTTAATGAAACTGAAGTGTAACAGTGGCAAATCGAAGTTTGGAAATTAAAAAGTGTTTTTGGTATCTGAGTAGTGCATTCATATTGTATAAGTACATTTATATGGTACAGAACCAGGGTTTGTTAAAAAAAACACTACAGGTACACTTACAATGCTTATTCCTTTAAAAATGACATCTTAAGATGTTTTCTTTCATGTTCTTGCACCAGATAATATTTTGTGATGATTTACTGTTTTATGTATTAAGGGTACAAAACAACCAGAAAACCACACAACATATGAGACACATCACTCAATGACAGGCTTTAAAGATTTTACTGTTATTGTCAAACATACAAAGACAAAACAAGTCTATAAAGTTAGTGTGTACTGCCCAAAAGACAGAGGAAACTGATTTAATTAAAAATTTCTAATCTTTACAAAACCAGATTTACATTCTGAAGACACCGAAGCGTGTTTTCTGTGAGGGGGCGTTGAGAGCAGCACTCAGACTCAGGCCTAGGACGAGACGAGTGTCAGCGGGGTCAATGATCCCATCGTCCCACAATCTAGGTATTAGGAGGAAGTGCAACAAACGTGAAAATTAGACATTACACATGGAGGGGAGTTGTAGGAAAAACTCATTTATATGACCGTGTTGTCTAATAATAACACATACTGTACTGTTTAAAAGTTTGGCACCAGTAATATTTTTTGAAAGAAATAAATGTCTTTCAAAGACATAAAAAATCTTACTGACCCCAAAATGTAAAAAAAATAAAATAAATTGCGGGCATTTTATGTAACACACAATTTAAACATCAGTTGTGATGGGGGCAGTCGTGGCCTTATGGTTCGAGTCTCGGTACCGGCAGGGATTGTAGGTGGGGGGAGTGAATGGACAGTGCTCTCTTCCACCTTCAGTACCACGACTGAGGTGAGACAGAACCCCCAAGTGCTCCCCGGGCGCCGCAGCAAAAATGGCTGCCCACTGCTCCGTGTGTGTGTGTGTGTTCACTACTCACTGCTGTGTGTGTGCACTTGGATGGGTTAAATGCAGAGCACAAATTCAGAGTATGGGACACCATACTTGGCCACACATCACTTTCACTTCACTAAACATACATGTCTAACTAGTCACCTGGCACTGGAATAATATGGGTTTCCCTCCTCCTCAAAGCGTTTGATAATTGGCTCTTTCATTGCAGCTTCCTGCTCTGCTGTAAACTGGAAAATAACCAACAATGTGTTAAAAGTTAGCCAAGATACAGTGGTGTGAAAAAGTGTTTTTGCATATTTGTCACACTTAAAAAGATTCAGATCATCAAACAAATTTTAATATTACACAAAGATAATGCAAGTAAATACAAAATGCAGTTTTTAAATTATTATTTATTTTATTAAGGGAAAAAAGCTGTCCAAACCTGCCTGGCCCTACGTGAAAAAGTAATTGCCCCCTAAATCTAATAACTGGTTGTGCCACGCTTTGCAGCAACAACTGCAATCAAGTGTTTGCGATGACTGGCAATGAGTCTTTCACATCGCTGTGGAGGAATTTTGGCCCACTCTTCTTTGCAGAATTGTTTTAATTCAGCCACACTGGAGGGTTTTCGAGCATGAATGGACTGTTTAAGCATCTCAATCGGATTTAAGTCCGGACTTTGATTTGGCCACTCCAAAACCTTAATTTCGTTTTTCTTGAGCCATTCAGAGGTGGACTTGCTGGTGTGTTTGGGATCATTGTCCTGCTACATAACCCAAGTGCGCTTGAGCTTAACTCCGCTTTCTAAAATAATGTGGTTAATTGCAGTTCTTTCATGATTTAACAGGAGGGGGCAATTAATTTTTCACGTAGGGCCACGTAGGTTTGGACAGCTTTTTTCCCTTAATAAATGAAATCAACATTTAAAAACTGCATTTTGTATTTACTTGCATTATCTTTGTGTAATATTTAAATTTGTTTGATGATCTGAAACATTAAAGTGTGACAAACATGCAAAAAAATAAGAAATCAGGAAGGGGGCCAACACTTTTTCACACCACTGTATATAAACTATATGCCTTTTTAACTCTCAGAAAAATAAACTGTAAAACATCTAACTTAATTTCCCAATTTCCCTATAAAAGATTCATAAATTCAGTAAATTTGCTTTGTTTTTCTTTTACCTCTTTTCCTTCCCTGGCTTTTTGATCCTTAGTTATTGTAGCCAGCACTGTGGCTGCCTGCTCCCCTCCCATCACAGAGATCCGGGAATTAGGCCACATGTACAGGAACCTGGGGCTGTGAGGTGGACACGCAGTCACTTTAATGAGGTACTTTATCTTGAGCTGTTCAGTCAACTGGACACCTTGAGCATGTTTTTAGAGTTGTACCTTTGAGCAGCAAGTTCACTAATAATAAAGCTTACCCATAAGCTCTGCCACACATGCCATAGTTCCCTGCTCCATACGATCCTCCAATGATGACAGTAATCTTAGGCACATTGGCACAGGCCACAGCTGTCACCATTTTAGCTCCATCTTTAGCAATACCCCCAGCCTCATACTCCCTGCCAACCATGAAGCCTGGTAAAAACAGGCAAAGACAACATCACGATGTTAATGGCAGTGGCAATTTCACTAGGCACACACATACGATTCTCTGTTGACTCATTCAGTATCAGAGCACTGTATTGTAACACTGTATGTATGCACTGGGATGAACTATACATACTGACCTGTAATATTTTGAAGAAAGAGCAGTGGAATGTTTCGCTGACAGCAAAGCTCAATGAAATGCGTTCCCTATTAAAAAAAAGAAAGAAAAGGAAACAATCATTTAAAACCCTCATTCGTCCCTCCCGAACCTATAACAAAAGTGTCCCTCGCGGGTCAAAATGACCCGAAGGCCAAATGACACTAATTTTATTTTTGGTCCAGAAAGCTTATATTGGTCCATTTTTATATATTTTTTTCAAATTTTTTATGTAGGTTTTTTTTTAATTATTTTTTGGTGATTTTTATTTTATTCACATTAAATTCTGGATATTTTTATGAAAATTAGCATATTTTATACATTTTTTTCACCAAAAAACAACAACAACAACAACGAAAGACACAATTTCTGCATATTTATACTTAAACATGATCATTCATCGTCACTGAGTGTCTCTAATGCCATCTGGTGGGGAAAAATGACATGAGGGATGAGGGTGAGGGTTTTAAAAGTACACATTGTCTATCCACTTTCATTGCATGGAAAAGAGCAACCTGGAAGATGATACTAACCAATAATTATGGGTTCAACAGAAAAATGCATTTTTCAAGAGTAGATTACGAGTTTTCATTTTCATGTGTACTATTTAACTTAAGCACAATGGACCCTATGCATACTGACCATCTATGTATTTCCGCTAAAATCTCAGTGCTACACGAGCTTCTGGTATTCCAGACAATAATGATCAGGAGATGCTCACCTTCTTTGCAGATTCTGAGAACAGCACACCATTATTGCCAATAATTCCCACAGGGTAGCCAAATATCCGTGCGAAACCTAGAAAGCAAATAAAGGAAGCCAAAACAAGGTGAGAAATCAATGTTGAAATTCAAATACAAAAAGATGTTTATTGAAAAACATCCACCTGTGATGAGTGTGTCTCCATAGAAGGCCTTGAATTCATCAAATTTACTGCCATCAACAATACGAGAGATAACCTGAAATTTGAAATTCAAGTTCTGTCTGAGGTGGCAACATTTCAATAGGCTTGTATTTCTGTGATCAAATTGTGGCCATTACCTCGCGAATGTCAAAGTTGCGTTTGAGGTTGTCTCCCACAATACCATAAAGCTCATCGGCAGGAAACAGAGGAGCTTCAGGAGGTTCAACAGTGACCTAATGAGCAGTGGGCAAGTTAAAGAAAATCAGCATCAAGCCATGAAGCATCTCTGAGAAGACAAGAGTAGTTGTGTCCTCACATCAAGATTCTTCTTGTAGTTCAGGCTTCGAATGGCTTTCCGTGCAAGATGAAGGGCGTGATTATCATCCAGGGCATAATGATCGGTTACACCTGACTTTCTGAGGAGAGACAAATGTTGAAAAATATATTAGTCCAATCAAGCTCAAAAATGTGTTTATGTGAACACACAAGTGCTTCTCTAACCTGCAGTGAAGGTCTGCACCTCCCAGGTCTTCAGCAGACACCTCTTCACCTGTAGCAGCTTTTACCTGTTGAATACAGAGTGGGACATTGATAAACATAAGTAGAGAGTCATATCATGCTCCTTAGGACAGAAACACCTACCAGTGGTGGTCCACCTAGAAAAATGGTCCCTTGTTTGCGTACTATGATGCTCTCATCAGCCATCGCAGGCACATAAGCGCCCCCTGCTGTACAGGAGCCCATCACAACAGCAATCTGAAACATAACAGGTAAAATTGATCCACCATGATGAATCAGTGGATCAATGATCAGTGCACAGCTTCAAGTCGAACGAACGAACAAACATGCGCGCATTTGCATCGCTTTGATCATTCTCACCTTCTCACGCACGGCGCAATTAGTCGATTATGTACAATACCTGCATGTTATTGGTCAAACTACTTTGGATGTTTTAGGCAATATAAAAATCATGGCCAGGACGTGTCCCGTAT